TTTCAACTCTCTTCTCGGTGTTTGGATATCCCGATGAAACACTGTCTCTCGTGTTTGATATATTACATCGTCCTCTGTGATAGGTTTACCTAGTCATCTCATGAATTTGTTGCTGTGAACTGCGCGAACATGAATTCGAGTGATTGGGAGTTTAGCAAAAGAAGTTACCCGGCCTATAGAAACGCTGAGAGGTAAGAAAATATTTTTTTAGCCATATATACTCTAAGAGCAGGACACTTCTTTATTTAAAGAAGAAAACAGGGGCGAGTGTAACGTGCCCTCACGAGACTCTCGCATGAACATTTTGAGTTCAACAGAGGGCTTCACAAAACATGAATGCGGAAATATTTGAATCAGGTTTGTCAACCTTTCAGAGTTTCTTTTTGCCAAAGGCATGGCAAATTGGAAATCTGAGTGAAATAGTGCCTTCATTCATGAAACATGACTGGGTAATTAAAAGAATATGACGAATCTTCTCTTTGCCAACATTCCCTTGCATTTGTTACTGCACTGAGCAGCGGTGTCCTGTTGTAAGTTTTGCGCTATTGGACTGAACAATTTTTATGCTATATTCGAAACCAAATAAGGGATGGTTTTCCTAAGCCCCCTAAGAAATCAATGCATTTTTGAAGTCTAGAAAAGACAGTAAATACACTCGCCTAATGGCCCATGTATCGACAGATTTAGGCATGTCAAGAGATTATCAAGCTAACTTACCTTGATAATCTCTTGGACATGTACATTGAGAGTTTTTGTCCGGAAGGTCTTTAAACTGATAGTTACCCGCGGAAGTGTTGTGTTCTAAAAATCAAATATTAGCCCAAGAACGAAGCTCGAGGGCTTACATGTAGTTTTTTTAAAACAATGTTTCAACCCTTAGCCGATAAACACTCATTTGTCTTTATTATTCACCAACAGGGGCGTAGCTAGGGAGGGGGGGCGAGATCCTTTGGTGCCCGTGACCTCCCTTTAGTAAGGCTTTTTTAAGCAAACAACCTACAACAGGTTG